ATTTTGAATTTTGATATCTCAGCTCTGGAAGGGTCTAGAGCCTCCATTTTTGCACTCAGATCAAAGTCTCGTGGCCCTCTATCATAATCCAGAGTTTTGAGAAGATTGGAGAAACTTAATTTTTCGCCCGAAAACGAAAAAAAACGAAAGGGGTAACACTGTCGTTTTTTTTTCGGGTCGAAATTTTGAATTTTGATATCTCAGCTCTGGAAGGGTCTAGAGCCTCCATTTTTGCACTCAGGTCAAAGTCTCACAGCCCTCTATCATAATCCAGAGTTTTGAGAAGATTGGAGAAACTTAATTTTTCGCCCGAAAATGAAAAAAACGAAAGGGGTAACACTGTCGTTTTTTTTTCGGGTCGAAATTTTGAATTTTGATATCTCAGCTCTGGAAGGGTCTAGAGCCTCCATTTTTGCACTCAGGTCAAAGTCTCACGGCCCTCTATCATAATCCAGAGTTTTGAGAAGATTGGAGAAACTTAATTTTTCGCCCGAAAACGAAAAAAAACGAAAGGGGTAACACTGTCGTTTTTTTTTTCGGGTCGAAATTTTGAATTTTGATATCTCAGCTCTGGAAGGGTCTAGAGCCTCCATTTTTGCACTCAGGTCAAAGTCTCGTGGCCCTCTATCATAATCCAGAGTTTTGAGAAGATTGGAGAAACTTAATTTTTCGCCCGAAAATGAAAAAAAACGAAAGGGGTAACACTGTCGTTTTTTTTTTGGGTCGAAATTTTGAATTTTGATATCTCAGCTCTGGAAGGGTCTAGAGCCTCCATTTTTGCACTCAGGTCAAAGTCTCACAGCCCTCTATCATAATCCAGAGTTTTGAGAAGATTGGAGAAACTTATTTTTCGCCCGAAAATGAAAAAAAACGAAAGGGGTAACACTGTCGTTTTTTTTTTGGGTCGAAATTTTGAATTTTGATATCTCAGCTCTGGAAGGGTCTAGAGCCTCCATTTTTGCACTCAGGTCAAAGTCTCGCGGCCCTCTATCAGAATCCAGAGTTTTGGGAAGATTGGAAAAACTTAATTTTTCGCCAAAAAACGAAAAAAACGAAAGGGGTAACACTGTCGTTTTTTTCGGGTCGAAATTTTGAATTTTGATATCTCAGCTCTGGAAGGGTCTAGAAACTCCATTTTTGCACTCAGATCAAAGTCTTGTGGCCCTCTATCAGAATCCAGAGTTTTGGGAAGATTGGAGAAACTTAATTTTTCGCCCGAAAACGAAAAAAAACGAAAGGGGTAACACTGTCGTTTTTTTTTTGGGTCGAAATTTTGAATTTTGATATCTCAGCTCTGGAAGGGTCTAGAGCCTCCATTTTTGCACTCAGGTCAAAGTCTCGTGGCCCTCTATCATAATCCAGAGTTTTGAGAAGATTGGAGAAACTTAATTTTTCGCCCGAAAACGAAAAAAACGAAAGGGGTAACACTGTCGTTTTTTTTTCGGGTCGAAATTTTGAATTTTGATATCTCAGCTCTGGAAGGGTCTAGAGCCTCCATTTTTGCACTCAGGTCAAAGTCTCGTGGCCCTCTATCAGAATCCAGAGTTTTGAGAAGATTGGAGAAACTTAATTTTTCGCCCGAAAATGAAAAAAAACGAAAGGGGTAACACTGTCGGTTTTTTTTGGGTCGAAATTTTGAATTTTGATATCTCAGCTCTGGAAGGGTCTAGAGCCTCCATTTTTGCACTCAGGTCAAAGTCTCGTGGCCCTCTATCATAATCCAGAGTTTTGAGAAGATTGGAGAAACTTAATTTTTCGCCCGAAAATGAAAAAAAAAAAGGGGTAACACTGTCGTTTTTTTTTCGGGTCGAAATTTTGAATTTTGATATCTCAGCTCTGGAAGGGTCTAGAGCCTCCATTTTTGCACTCAGGTCAAAGTCTCGTGGCCCTCTATCAGAATCCAGAGTTTTGAGAAGATTGGAGAAACTTAATTTTTCGCCCGAAAACAAAAAAAAACGAAAGGGGTAACACTGTCGTTTTTTTTTTCGGGTCGAAATTTTGAATTTTGATATCTCAGCTCTGGAAGGGTCTAGAGCCTCCATTTTTGCACTCAGGTCAAAGTCTCACAGCCCTCTATCATAATCCAGAGTTTTGAGAAGATTGGAGAAACTTAATTTTTCGCCCGAAAATGAAAAAAAAACGAAAGGGGTAACACTGTCGTTTTTTTTTGGGTCGAAATTTTGAATTTTGATATCTCAGCTCTGGAAGGGTCTAGAGCCTCCATTTTTGCACTCAGGTCAAAGTCTCGTGGCCCTCTATCATAATCCAGAGTTTTGAGAAGATTGGAGAAACTTAATTTTTCGCCCGAAAACGAAAAAAACGAAAGGGGTAACACTGTCGTTTTTTTTTCGGGTCGAAATTTTGAATTTTGATATCTCAGCTCTGGAAGGGTCTAGAGCCTCCATTTTTGCACTCAGGTCAAAGTCTCGTGGCCCTCTATCAGAATCCAGAGTTTTGAGAAGATTGGAGAAACTTAATTTTTCGCCCGAAAATGAAAAAAACGAAAGGGGTAACACTGTCGTTTTTTTTTGGGTCGAAATTTTGAATTTTGATATCTCAGCTCTGGAAGGGTCTAGAGCCTCCATTTTTGCACTCAGGTCAAAGTCTCGTGGCCCTCTATCATAATCCAGAGTTTTGAGAAGATTGGAGAAACTTAATTTTTCGCCCGAAAATGAAAAAAAACGAAAGGGGTAACACTGTCGTTTTTTTTCGGGTCGAAATTTTGAATTTTGATATCTCAGCTCTGGAAGGGTCTAGAGCCTCCATTTTTGCACTCAGGTCAAAGTCTCGTGGCCCTCTATCATAATCCAGAGTTTTGAGAAGATTGGAGAAACTTAATTTTTCGCCCGAAAAAAAAAAAACGAAAGGGGTAACACTGTCGTTTTTTTTTTTCGGGTCGAAATTTTGAATTTTGATATCTCAGCTCTGGAAGGGTCTAGAGCCTCCATTTTTGCACTCAGGTCAAAGTCTCACAGCCCTCTATCATAATCCAGAGTTTTGAGAAGATTGGAGAAACTTAATTTTTCGCCCGAAAATGAAAAAAAAAACGAAAGGGGTAACACTGTCGTTTTTTTTTCGGGTCGAAATTTTGAATTTTGATATCTCAGCTCTGGAAGGGTCTAGAGCCTCCATTTTTGCACTCAGGTCAAAGTCTCACAGCCCTCTATCATAATCCAGAGTTTTGAGAAGATTGGAGAAACTTAATTTTTCGCCCAAAAATGAAAAAAAAACGAAAGGGGTAACACTGTCGTTTTTTTTCGGGTCGAAATTTTGAATTTTGATATCTCAGCTCTGGAAGGGTCTAGAGCCTCCATTTTTGCACTCAGGTCAAAGTCTCGTGGCCCTCTATCATAATCCAGAGTTTTGAGAAGATTGGAGAAACTTAATTTTTCGCCCGAAAATGAAAAAAAACGAAAGGGGTAACACTGTCGTTTTTTTTTCGGGTCGAAATTTTGAATTTTGATATCTCAGCTCTGGAAGGGTCTAGAGCCTCCATTTTTGCACTCAGGTCAAAGTCTCGTGGCCCTCTATCATAATCCAGAGTTTTGAGAAGATTGGAGAAACTTAATTTTTCGCCCAAAATGAAAAAAAAACGAAAGGGGTAACACTGTCGTTTTTTTTTCGGGTCGAAATTTTGAATTTTGATATCTCAGCTCTGGAAGGGTCTAGAGCCTCCATTTTTGCACTCAGGTCAAAGTCTCACAGCCTCTATCATAATCCAGAGTTTTGAGAAGATTGGAGAAACTTAATTTTTCGCCCGAAAATGAAAAAAAAACGAAAGGGGTAACACTGTCGTTTTTTTTTCGGGTCGAAATTTTGAATTTTGATATCTCAGCTCTGGAAGGGTCTAGAGCCTCCATTTTTGCACTCAGGTCAAAGTCTCGTGGCCTCTATCAGAATCCAGAGTTTTGAGAAGATTGGAGAAACTTAATTTTTCGCCCGAAAAATGAAAAAAAACGAAAGGGGTAACACTGTCGTTTTTTTTTCGGGTCGAAATTTTGAATTTTGATATCTCAGCTCTGGAAGGGTCTAGAGCCTCCATTTTTGCACTCAGGTCAAAGTCTCACAGCCCTCTATCATAATCCAGAGTTTTGAGAAGATTGGAGAAACTTAATTTTTCGCCCGAAAATGAAAAAAAAACGAAAGGGGTAACACTGTCGTTTTTTTTTGGGTCGAAATTTTGAATTTTGATATCTCAGCTCTGGAGGGTCTAGAGCCTCCATTTTTGCACTCAGGTCAAAGTCTCGTGCCCCTCTATCAGAATCCAGAGTTTTGAGAAGATTGGAGAAACTTAATTTTTCGCCCAAAAATGAAAAAAAAACGAAGGGGGTAA